TAATTTTCAAGTCATAACAATCAATATAACTTATTGGTTAGAATTGACTGTTTTCACACGTCATGCGCATGCGCTAATATATGTAGTGGGGAGTCATTATAAGAGACGGGGTTATTATATGGGAAGTTAAGACGTGACTTTTACGGAAGTTTAGACAAAAACGGGGGTTAACTTTAGGGAAGTTCCACTGTATACGAAAACAGCTATTCACAAAGTAAGCGCAGGCAATAAGAGGACTAATCGACATCATGAAGAAAATGCGAGTATCGATAAAATTAATGGATCTGCATGTATATTATTAATTTGACGATTTGTCACAGATGTAAATATAGCTTATATTTTGTTTTGGATTGTGCATAATAATTAATTAAATTCTTTACTTTCTTCTTCATTTCTATTTTATTATTATGTCAAATCATTGCGAAATCGACGACATTGTCGACCAATTGACCGCTGATCGGATGCACAAGCATAGAAAAACAGCAATGTACGCTCTTTCACTCGCTTTTTCATATTCTTTCTTGTTCTTTCTCTCTATCTCGTTCTATTGCTCACTCTTTCATTTGCTAATCTCGCTTCTAGATAGAGTCTCTCTAGTCAGAGTCAAGACCATGAAGTAATAGGGGAGGAGATTCAACTCCGCTAAGAAAAGCGTACCAGTTTCATGCGCCGAATTGGGAGGGAATCCGCTGATCTACTTACTAACAAGGGAACACACAGAAATGTCCCCCTCCGATTTCAATGAGCTTTGGATATGTTAAACTACAGACAAAAATAAGATACTACAATTTTTTTATACTTGCTGAGTCGCACGTTAAGGGGTGAACCTGGTTTACAGGGTCAAAATTTTTGATTTTTTTTTGTTTGCTTTAATCAATAGTAGTACTCTCAAAGAATATTCTCTTAAAGTTTTAGAGCGAAATTCGAAATACTTTTGTAATTACAGCTTGGGAAACAGATACCGATTGCGCAGGTATACGGCAAGTGCGACGGGTGCGCGGCATTGTACTCCGCTGCTCGGTCTCTACCACGGTATTATTGACTTTGAACAGCTTTTGAAGGAAGATCTTTTAATCAGATGTTTAGGCGGACATAACTCAAACGAGAGTTTTAACTCTACCGTCTGGCGCCTCGCTCCAAAGCACCTGAATTCCGGTGCAAAAATTATTGAAATCGCCGCCTTCATTGCTGCATGTCTTTAATGAAGGCTATTCTGGCATTATAAGAATAATGCAATTGTTAGAAATAAATATTGGCCAACAATGCAAGATATTCGTCGAGAATTATGACCAGCAGCGAATTACGAGGCAGGAACGACGCCGACTAACAATAAGCAGCACGATAGAGGCTCGTACAGCTTGTAGACAACTACAAATGAAAGAAAATGAATTTTTTAAGGAAGCGGAAGGTTTACTGTATGGGTCTGGAATAGCAGATTAACGGTAAGTGTTAAAAATCACTTGTCTCTGTTACTTTTCGATACCAAAAACTTTAAACGCGTTTTTCTCAAAACCACTTTTTTGAAATTGGCGGGAAAGATAACTCAAAAACTATTCGACTTCTGCTAAGCAGTGTTGGGTAAGATACTTTTAAAATGTATCTCGATACAGATACAGATACATGTGAAAAAATGTATCTAGATACAGATACAGATACACAAATTAAAATGTATATAGGTACAGATACTCAGATACTTTTAAAGTATCTCAGATACATATCAGATACTTTTAAATTATATTTTATTATAATAATATGCACAAGTAATATGCACAAAATATATTGAATAAATCTTTAATATTAATATTTTTCATTTACATTACACTTCAAATACATTTATTTACATTTGTCTTCCAATTATTCGTTAGTCTTACATACTAAAAATGCTTCAAAGATGTCATCACTTACAATTAGTCTATTTCGCCGTGGTACTAAAATTTGACCACCTGTACTAAATAATCGCTCAACCGGTGCTGATGAAGATAGAATTGCGTTAAGAGGATTCTAAACCCTAGATCAAACTCCAATAATCCGCTGTTTTACCGACAATTTGTGAGTATGTATGCGTGCGATATTGATGTAGTAGAGTGTAGTGATGTGTCATGTTTATTACCACATCAATATATCTCACGCATACATATACACGAATTTGTAGAATACAAATGTATTTTTATTTAGGCTTCTAAATTTGATTTTAACGACTCACCTATATTCATTTCTTTATTGTACATCTGGCTCTGCCTTCATTTCGAGCATAAAACCTGCCTAACTTTTTTACGAAGTAAACGTTTTGGTAAATTGATAGTATTAATCGCCATGTTGAGGTTAAAATGGATAACAAAATCTGTAATTTCTTAATTTTTTCCTGTTTTTGGTAGAAAACACATCAGAACCAGATGCATTAGCATGTGTGTTTTAATCGTGGAAAAGGAAATTTTATTCTATGCGATTAATACGAAGTATTTTGTATCAAACAAAAATAGTATTTTTGTCGATAAAACAGACGGCTTTAGCATTCTCTTAAATTTTAAAAATATATGTTTTATATTATATTGAGGAAAACGTGCGATTGATGCAATATCTTTTTGCTTGTCTGACAAATAAGAAAGAACTTCCATGCTAATAGCACTGTCAGTGGTTACTTCTACGTGATCTTGATCTTTTAAAAATTTAAAGAATTGATCATCTACGGAAGATGCTGAAGAGATATCAGAAGACAATCTGGTTTTATTTTTTGAATCCGCATATCTTTTTGCTTCTGTAATAAGCAAGTTTTTGCAATACCCACACAGAACAAAATCCTCTAATGGACGTCCACTAGATGTCTATCGTGGAGGTTCAAAACCTCCATTAGACGTCCGCGAAACTTCTCATAGACGTCTACTAGATATCCACAGTTCCGCATTTCATACATCCATTCGACATCTATTAGATGTATTTATAGATGTTGTATGGAGGCTATTAGACGTTATGTGGATCAATTACAGATGGTCCATAGAGCTTTTATAGACAAACAA